TAACGGCTGCCATATTGAAAATAAACAGCTTTCATAAAAGAAACAGGATTTTTTATTTACCTACCAAATTTATTTGCTATATTGGTAGATATTATTATACCCAAATGAAATTTTTATACAGTTGGGATCGTGGATATCTTGAATAGTAAAAAAAAAGTTAGAGATGGATAACAGACCTACCCCTTCATGCCTGTGAATTCGATCACATAATCATCCATACTCACTTATGAATGCATCGATTTTATTTTCCACCTATATAATGTTTAGCTTATGGTATGAATAATAATCCATAAAAATTTCATTGCAATCAAAAAGAAAATAACAAAAAGTAGATGAGAAAAAAACATCAAAAATTGAAGTTTTGAGTACAAGAAACGAAATTTTGTTACATAATAGGCAAAATGAAAGTTCTAGGACAGAAAATCTGATGGATGATGATTGTTACACAAAGAGTAAGCTCTTTTTAGATTTACAAGTGATTGAAGTTTTATAATACGTAAAAAGTCCAGATACCATAAATTGACCCAAAATCGTTAATTTAAAACCAGCCCCCCCCCCCCCTCCTCCCTTTAGGAAGGGACAAACCGGTACCTCTTTGGGCTGGGACAAAATCGCTTTTAAAATAAAGTTCATCCTTTGTTTTTTCTATGCACGATATAATTATGCTTATTGAACGCATGTTTTGAGAACCTTTAAGCTCAGAAAGTGTTCACTAAAAAACGAATTTCTTTTAATTGTGTGTTGTGACGTAGGCCAAATTATGTGTATGCAAAATATGCATGAGAAGCGGGAAAAGCGGTGAACAATCCCATTTTCCGAGTGTCGGAAGTTTGTAGATTTTAAAATATAAATATATAAAGAACAGTTGTTTAATCTAACCTCAATTGTTATAGAAAAACACAAGATGATATAAACTGCTATTCAAAGTATGGGCCACGTTAATACACCCGTTAAAAAGGCATTTGAGGATAAGTTGCACAAGGAATTTTTGACAGCACTATAGTAGCAGTCCTGTCAGGCGCTGAAATCATTTGATTTGTTAACTGTGTGTATAGGTGGATACTGGCGTTAAGGTACACCACGGCAGCCTAAAAAGTAGATTTTGGTATCCAACTGTGTTTTAGCGCCTATAAATGGCTGCTGGCACTGTATGCTTCCCATGAAGTTGAGGTTGTTTCAGAATGCTCTCAGGTCTGCTGGAGTAATAGTATAGATTGTGAAGCGCATAGAGCTTGCTGTTGAGTGGTGATTTCCGCTATACAAATGTGAGGCAGCGTGGTGGAATCAGGCTCTCGTCAAAATAATCAAAGTGAAGAAACTTGCATTTTTCCACAGGTTTGTGAATTTTTATCAAATTTTTGGTTTTTTGGCTCAACACCTTTCGTGCCCTTTAAAGAACTAATTTCTGTGAGGATTTTTCTGAAAAACATTGCTTAAAAGTACACAAAATGTAAATTTTCTGTTACCACCGACTCTTAAGTTAAGAAAATAAGTAATTTTTGGCAGCCATTACCTCACTAATTTTACCTCTGAAAATAGGTAACCCCACCTCCTTCATTTGCAAATATCTCGACTTGTATTCAAGATAAATTGATATTTTTTTTCATCCAAATAAAGACAAGTGAACAAGCTTTTAAATGATACCAATAACTCTACATGCCCCAAAATTGACGAGAGCCTGATTCCACCACGCTGCCTCACAAATGCTATCTATCTGTTATTTATTATTGCAATGAGCAGTGGTCTACATTGCTAATCATTCTATTATCTGATACTACATAGCGCAAGGTACCACAGACAGATGGCAACATAACTAATCCTATCTGATACTCTGAGAGTGCCATGTGACAGGGAAGAAAAAACAAACAACTTTGAAATCTAATCATTGTTTTTAACGCGTTCATCTGCACAACTTACGCACTTTAATCCTATCTGTGCGCCCTGGGGTCATTTTGTCCCCCCCGAGTTGTATTTTTCACATTATAGAATACTTCTAGTGCCAAGATCTCTTTGAAACTTTCAGTATTTCTAAAAAACACCAAAACATTTTGGTAGACTGTTATGCAAAGCGTACGGAGTGGGTGGTTGGCGGGTGCTCTGGTGTGGTTTGCTTCTTCTTTCCTGTCAAACATCTATCGTCTTTATCTCCCCCTCTTCTTGATTGTTTTTGTTACTATCTTGTAACACCTCTAATCTTCGGCGCTTATTTAAATTATTACCTTATTGTATTGTAAGTGCCGAAAAAGTTTTAATAATTTTTTTTTAAGCGAAGGGATCGGATTACTCTTTGTAAAGTGGTGGCACAGAGTTCCCCACGTCATATGGATACGAAAGTAAAACACGACATACGGATAGGGTTAAGTGGCTAGCTTTAACTGCCTGTCAAGGCCAACCCCGGATGAGAGGTGAACATACTGCATGGCAACAGAAAGACTGCAAGATACTCCATGGAAACTGATCTCCGCTCAGGAATCGAACTCGGGTCTCCTGCGTACGATGACGAAGCGCCTAATCACTACACCACAGACGCAGGTGTTGCCGATAGTATCTCGTGACGAGGAGGAAAAAAAAGTGTTGTCTCTTTTTAAGGTCAAGGTCAGATCCTAGTTCATGCAGTTTAGGGCAGTGGGTTGTTAAAATACGGTATAACACGGATAGGTCGAACACAGAAATCACGCATTCGTCGAACTGCTCCAGATCTTATGGCCCTGATATTCAAATGCTCTTTCACCTATTGTTCTAAGTTTCAAAGATGGTAGAAGAAATTTCTTTTCGTCAGCGGATGACCTTAAACTGTGAGTTGGAATGTACAGTCTCAACAGATTTGATAAATATATCGGCACATCATCATTCAAGCATTTGTGATACAGCGTGGCCAACTAGTACACAATTCTTTTCTCAACAAGAAGCCACTGCAATGTGCGTTAAGAGGTGTAGCAGAGTCTGTAGTTTGCTTTCCCACAACAAGTACGCAAACTCTCGTCTGGACAGGCGCCACTCATTCGGCAGAACCTTTCAAGTGTAGGAATAAATTTTTGTCTGAGTATGCAGGCATTCTGTCCCTTCTCTCTTTTTCTTTCTCTTTTACCCCCCGGGGCAGTGCCACTGACTGTAATGTCTTTAAGCTATTCCCAAAGGAGGGACATTTCCCTTTCAAGCACAGTAGAATTGAAAATGGGCTGATTCATCAATGTCACGCTCATAACTGTGCCTGATTTACAATAGGGAACTGCTGCTTTTTCTTTCCTAATCCTTACTTTTGTCATTTTTCCTCTACTTCTTTTCTATGTTTGTTACTCTCTTGTGACCCACTTTTTCCGGGGTGCCTTGCTAGTCGAAGCAGACTTTGTACTGTTGAAGCCAGAGAGGTGAGCAGAGTAAGTCTGATTCCTTGTAAGGAATTCTCTGTTGACACCCACCTTTTTGCGCTCATAAATATGACCTTATGCAGTTGCGAGCGCCCTAAAACCTTTACTAAAACTAAAAAGAACTTCTCTCTTTTATAGTCTTCATAGGTCGACTACAGGCCCAGTCCTGCTTGAAATACAGTCCAGCTTGCTCTAACGTCCACCTGTCCAAGACAATCAGCTGTACAAAGAACCACTCCCTGCCTTGCGTTGTTCCTATTTTATTTATAACGACACTGCCCAGGACGACAGCCTGTTTTGGCGACCACTTTCTTCCTCCGCACTGGGGGCCATCTTAGATATTTTTCACCCATGTTATATATACTATTTATATATCAAATAATATATTTTATTATACATTTAAAAAAAT